CTCAGTGAATGACCTTAGATACATTGTTATATACACTTTAAACTATGTACTAAAGTTTGGGTTAGGGATTTGTTATGGACTGAATTGTAACCACCACTACCACCCCCACCCCCACCCCTGCCAACATCTACATTCCTATGCCCAAGCCCTAACCCCTAATGTGACTGTATTAGATAGGGCCTATGAGAAATTAATTAAGGTTAAATGAAGTCATGAAAATGGAGCCCTGATCCAATAGGATTAGTGTACTTCTAAGAGGCACTTGGAGAACTCGTGCTGTCCCTCTCCCTGCACACACTCAGAGGAAAGGCTATGTGAGTACAAAGTGGCCGTATAGCAGCCTTAAAGCCTAGTAAAGGAAGAGAGCCTTTATCAGTAACTGAACTCTGCCAGTACCTTAATCTTGGGTTTTCTAGCCTCCATAACAGTTAGGAAATAAATTTATGTGGTTTATGCCACCTAGTCTATAGTATTTTATTATGGCAGCTCTATTACATGATTTAACCATATTAGGTATGTTTTTATGAATTGAATCTGTAGTTTATATGATTTAGAAATGAAATATAAAGCTTCTTTTTGTTGAAATAGGAAGTGAAACATTTTTACCTAGTGGTGGAAAGAAGACACCATCATTTCTGTATTTCTCTAACTTGCTAGATCCTGGGGAATTATTGTATTTTTAGCTGGATGTTATGAGGAATATAGTTGTATTTTGAGCTAGATTGCTGAGAAACCTGAATACAGTTGAGAAACAATCATTATCTATGGCAGAACAGAACAACTTACAGGGCTTCTCTTTTCCTATATCCCCCTTCCAATATAAATAACCTTGCTGAGCATCCCCTTCTATTAATTATTATTGCATTGGTAGAGATTGATGTTATTTTGTTAATGTTGCATCCTTTAAATCTCATTCTAAAGAATCTTATTCTAAAGAAGAGCAAATTGGCAGAGTGGAGGCTTGCAGTAGACTAAGACTTTTTTGTAACCTCTATTTTGCCTAGATATGGTAGGAGAGATAGGGTTTAAGATAAAATATTATTAAGTAAATAACACCTTTTTCATTGTATCACCTAATTGTATTCTGCGCCTGCAAACATATTTCTAAATTGTTCTGTCTCACATCAATAGATGGGGAGTGTTCTGTTCAGATTCACATTGTTTTTCATACTTTTGCTGATTTTATGCAACTACATTTCCTTTAGAGCTACTGTTGACCTGATAGTATTGGCTGTTAGTTGGCAGGGAGGATTCACCTAGAATAAATGGTTACTTCCTGTTTCTTTCTACAGACATGAAAAAATGGAGTGCTTTTCTCCAAAGGTTTCTCAGAACTTAGTGGTACAAACTGTTTGAAAGTAGGACAATTACTTAAAAAGCTTTGTCTGGTTACCTTCAGATAAACATTTCCGTTAATTTTTCATCTCATTTTGAGCCCTCTTCTAGTTTGTAGTATTTTTTCAGTGTATGTAGGTGGCCTCAAACCATATGGCAAAAGCATTTTCCCAAAATAGTCAATCTTTGTCTTACTATGAACTGTTTTCTGTATTTTCTTCTCATTGAGCAGTTCCTCTCAACCAGCCCAAAACCCTTTTTCTACTTTGATCTGCCTCCGATTATGCTGATGTCTTAGGTCTTTTTGGGAATTCATACATGTTTTCATAGCACATTTATGAATGAAATTGCCTATTCCTTCGCTCTGTGTTACATGAAAAAAAAAATGTGTTCCTATTTTTATATAATATATATTGAATGTTCTCATAGTCATTGCCCTGTACAAAGTGGTTATCACACACAAGATGCAATCTCTTGTGCTCAGTGATGTTTATTATGTTTGTCTACTTTAAAGTGCTTAACTTCTCGAGTTTTTTCCTCCATTAAATGTTGCTTTTAGGTATTTTAGTTGTTTCTAATTCCATACACATGTACTTTATAAAAGATATTAGAGCATTTGTAAATAAGAAATTAGAGTCCCAGATTTTTAATGAATCGTTTTATTCTGTCTACTAAAAGTCTGATTTCTTCCATCTTCAGGCATCTGTCCTAAACACAGTGAGGTTGTCGAGTAGCACTCCCTCCCATCTTTGACACAGATACTTCCCTGCAATCCCAACTCCCAAAGTGGATGTTGCCTGGGGCAGGTAAGGATAGGGAGAGTATAGATTATTCTGTATCTGCTATACGTCTTAAGAGGGCTCTTGAGAAGACATATTCCACAGTGCTTCAAATTCAAAGAAGTGTTAAATCTGAAAGAGCCCATAGCAAGTTATCAAGACTATCAGACTACTTCCTGTTTCCTGAATGTGCTGTGTACTTTTACATGTCCGTGCCCTTGCTTGTTTTGGAGCATCTTTGCTCCTCAGGCTGCCTTGCAAAATGCAGCTTGTCCTCCAGTACCCTAAGCTCTGAATTAATGATTCCCTCATCAGTGATAGCATGGCATTATAAGAAAGTATTAAAAAATAATTTCTCCCATCATATGTTTGAGTGCCCTGCAACATACTTCATAGTATAGTGTTTAGTTTGTGTTGTTTTTCTATTTATACTTTAAGTTTTGAATGTTTACTTGAGCAGATAGGGTTATATTATAGTAAGAATGGTGTATGTATGTATTTCCTGGGATAAATAAGAAAGTAGAAGGTAAAATACTTTTAAATGACTTTCATTTCTAGTGTTTTTGATAGGAAATGAATTCACTCACATTTTTAGGTTTCTCATGGAAGTCATTGAGGAATAGAATATACAATGTAGTTCTGTGTTACTGAGAAACTATCATGTATTTTAAAAACATGCTATTATCTATATTACAGTGAGACTCACTTCATTCTGAAGCTGCCAAAAGACCTGTCTTACATAGATTGTAGAGCCATTGTTACGGGAGAGGATTGATATATTTCTATATTTCTGATTTCTTAATTTATGATCATATGCTACTTTTATAATCAAAAAATAAAGTTTTTTTTTTGTTTGTTTGTTTTTTTTTTTT